TACCGGTTGCACTCACATGTAATGCCTGTGGATGGATGGGTCTAAGAGCAGCCTATTAATTACAATACACACAAATAAGTACTACCCAGCCACAACCATCTGTAGCACATGCATGAAAACAATACATTTTCTCATGGACGTTGAAGCTTGCTTCCCAATATTTAACAAATGAGTCTCAGTGAGTACTTACCGAGTCAGTAAAGCCAGACCGCTGATTAGCATGTTCAAGCTGTTTCTGAAGGGAGATACTAGCACTAGGGATGAATCCTGTGAAGTTCATACGAGGAAAGAAGGAATGATGGATCGATTGTTGACATAAAATAGCACAATACTAATCTGTATGACATATCTCTGGCCAGAAGAGATTTAAAGTGAAGCTGAAATGTTTTAGAAAAAGCCCTATTAATATCAGTGTGATGAATGTTATGAAAAAAAAATGTAAGGTGGCTTCCTTACCTGGCTGGGTGGTGAAATGGCTGTGGACAGCATAACCCTGAGGCAGGAATGGCATGCTCTGGAATGGTGATGCCCCTACACAGAAAGACAGAAAATGTGAAGTTGAGAATAAAGACAGATAATTAAGTTTTATTGTGACCCAGGAGGGCAAATCACCAATTGTGACCAGTGCTGGCAAAATCAGTCGGAATGCGCACAGGCTAATTTTGAGCTACAGGAAGTGAAAAATGAAAAATTTTCACAAAAATGAGTTCATTAAGCCCTCGTCTAGCGATCCCAATGCTCCAAATTTATATGTTTATTTGTACGTTTTCTGAGAGGAGTACCTTTTCTCCGCTCGCTTCTCACGCTGACTGTCATCCGAAGCGCGTGCATAAAGGCGCTTCCGACTGCGTGATCCCGATAAATATATACATATACTCAGAAATACAGTATTTAAGTATTCACGCAAACATAATCTGTTATGTCTTAAGTGAATGTTTGGGGAACTGTTGGGGAAAAAAACATCTGATGTGTAACATTATATTAGATCCGTGCATTACAGTAGGTCAATATAGGCCGCCTCAATGTTAATCTAACAATAAAAGAAAAGGCAATCGTTCGCCGGTCTTGATTGAACTGCTTTTATAGTTTTAATAATCAATTTATTTGTAATGAACACACTAAAGGGATTTTTACATTTGATTATTTGTTTTTCTTACTTGAATGCTTTTGTTATGTGTAAAATGAAAAAGGTAATGCATTATTTGTTTCTTTCTTATATTTGTTCTACTGTTTTTTTTTTATTTTAATTTTTTTTGCATCTGTCCTTATTTGTAATAACAAAGATACCCAAAAAGTGAAGAGCTTGAAAAAAGTCTGCACACTCAAACATCAAAAAGTCACAAGCGAGATGAAAGTAATATGAACAATTTACTGAATAAAAACAAGGCAAACGTTTCGGTCACATGTTGACCATTTTCAATGCCAAGCTAACAATGTTAGAACTAGAAGCCATCACTTGATTGATCAATTAAAACAAATCTTGGTACACTTCATCAACACCATGATCTGAGGGGCAATGCCAAAGTTGGGAACAGCGCCACCTATGGGTCGTGAGATACCAAAAATGCACATTTTTGCCTTTTTTTTTTTTTTTTACTTTTGAACAGTTAGTCAGAAAATCATGAATTTGTTGTCTATAGATTACTTGGGTCATGCCGAATCTGGCGATATCATTTTTGCCAGGATTGGCTGAACCATGTGTCCGCCAGATATGACATATCTGCACAAAAATTGATAGGGAACATCAATGGCATGTCCCGGCGGTACCTGAGAAGTTTGAACACAGCCCCGATCCTTTGAGGTCATGGGTTTGAATCCGATGTCGCACATGTCCAGACCAGCATATTTACTGTGGCAAGAAATGATGCTGAAGTTGCTTCTTTTCCAGATGTTGTGCTTTTCAAGGTATGATCTTATCTAAGCTTATTAAATACTACATATTTATATACAAAATCTTAATTTTGAGTTGAGTGTCACTTGAATTATGGAGCTTCAGCATCTGTGTAAATCAAAAGGTTATAGCTTTGAAGATTCTATACAAATTCAATGTGTAGCAAGTGTTTAACCATGGGAACTGTGCGATGTTTAAAAATATCCAAATAAAGTCCAACGTTCAAATAGGCCAAAAATGACCAAATAGGGCTTGACCCCGATAACTGCTGCATGCAGCTATATTTAATATAGTAATTATTATTAAGAAAAGAAATGGAGGGAAAGATGTAATGTTGCAGGTAATTTTGCTTTGGAACCCTTCAGAAAACTTTTAACTTTTCTCAAAATTGACTTTGCTGACTCTATCGCCTTCAAACAGGTGTAGCATAGTCATTTTTCATCCGATTCCAGCAAATCATACATCATTCTGAAGGTCTTTTAATGGAGAATGTGAACATATAAATATTTTATTTTTTTTTTTTTTTAATTTGCTAATTGTGACTCATTTTGCCAGCACAGGTCACAATTCTCTATAAGCGTACACCTTCTCCATAATCTACATAAGCTATAAGCAAAGATAAAGAGTACTCTGAGGGAAGAATTCAGTGATGTGTTCCATCTTTTGATAAATCACACTTAAATCGTGAACATGTTCTACTTGTAGTAATGATAATGAATAGTAATCTGACCAACTCTACTATGCCAACGCCAGTTCAAAAATTCACCTTTCAAATGGTTATATCTTTTGAACCCTTTGTTCCTTAGTTCACATGATTACTACTGTCCTCATGCTGATCACATTCAATATTTTGCATTAATATTCCACCCATTACTGTAGTGGCCATTTTGAAAAGTACAGTATTCTTTTTTTTTTTTTAATACTTAAAAATTTGTTCACTTCTGAAAATTGGCTCAGATGATCTTTGGACCATGCCGCACAGAAAAGACTGAACAGAATATTGAGATTCATCTTTGTTGAACTGGTTCAGTGGCTTTATCTTGGCAATACTTTGATCAATTCAGATGGAACTCGGTACACTTCATCAGCGCCATGATCTGAGGATACATGCAAAGGTTTGGAACAGTGCCCCCTATAGCTCATGAGATACAAAAAAAATTGAAATTATTGCTTAGAACTTTTGAACAGTTTGTCAGAAAATCATGATCTTTGTGTCTATGGATTCCTTGGGTCATGTTGAATCAGAAGATACAGATTTTGATTCCACCGGTTTGACATTTGTTATAAATTGCCATATCTTTTGAACCTTTTAAAACATCAGTACAAAAATTGGTAGGGATCATCAGCAACATGTCCCGAAGGTACTTGAGAAGTTTGAGCACAGCGCCACCTGGTGTTCTAAAGATAGAATTTTTTTCCTCATAAACACATAACTTCTGAAAACATTCTCCGAATTTTTTTTCTACTGTCAATACATTTCTTGGTTTATGCTGATTGTGATGTCTCATTTTTTTTTTTTCATCATTTTGTTTCATTTTTGGACTGAGCTGCACAGAAATGACTTAACAGATTTTTTGATATTTACTATCGTTCCCGAGAAATTCCTCTTCAAATTTGACAGTTATCTTATGCTAGTTAGCTTAGCTTGCTAATTGGTTAACATGCTAACCAGTTGCCATTCTTTCTAATGTGGCTCTTCAACTATCAGGTTAACCGTAAACTATGGGTGCATCTCAATCAGCTCCCTAGTTCAGTAGTCAGGGCACTGATTAGGGAGTTGGCCATTTTAAGGTCTCAATCACGAAATCCTTCCAGTGCACTGGAACATTCGCTCCCTGAAAAATCCCACAATGCACCGCAAAAACTAGGGAGCATCGGTGCTCACTATGCTCCCTTAACGGAAATTACGTCACATTTCTGAATCACGAAACATAAACCACACGAGCCAACTCGATAAATATAATGATACGCAATAGAAGATTTGAAAAGACAAACCTTTTTTTTTTTAGTATATTTCAACATAAACACACATCGCTAGACAGGTAATGATCACATCTAGTTAACATTTATAATTAATATTCAGCTGAAATGTTGTAAGAACATGTAAAAGAAGAATGTGTTTAAAGAGAATAAAAAATAATATCAAAAAGTGATTGGTCCAGCCTGTTGTTGATTAATTCCAGCAATGACGTTCTACAATGTTGTACGTTGACGGTCATGTCACCGGAAATTGAGTAATCACTGTCCCAATGTGCAGTTAGCCAGGGAACTAATTTGGTCACTGGTAAGTTCACTTACCAGTGACCGAATTTGTGTACACGATATACTGATTCTGAGCTGATAGAGACGCATCATCAATGTTAGCTGTTAGGGTTAGCTTAGCATTTTAATTGGATAACATGCCAAGTAATGCAAAAGCACAAAAATGTGCTCATTTTTGGCTTCAAAGCTCTCCTCAGCAGCTTGGGGAATGTGTGTCAATTGGGTGGTGTAACTTGCTAAAACACAAGCCCTGCACCTTTCAGGTCATGGGTTGGAATCCTGTGTGGTACGACTGCAAGAGGTACTGTGATCAGAAATGGTGCAAAAATTGTTTCTGTTCCAGATATTTTGTTTACATATAAGGTGCATTTATATGTGTGTGAGTGTTTTGTGCTTCTGACATTCACATTGTAGAGCTTTTAACTGTTCAGCGTGATGTGCTTTGATGTGATTGCTGTGTAACTGCAAAGACGTTGAATTAAATGTAAACACAGCTTGCGTGTCTTAATCAGTTTATCTGCATATATCCGGGCCGCTTGCTCCATTCCTGTGAATCAGTTTTTGTGAATGAATGACTTGCTCTACCTGTTGCTGTGGTCTTCCTCAAACACTTGCTTGCACCACCTGCTGATGAATGACTAACAGCAGATGGAAATTATGCATTGGTCAGGGTTTCCACGCTTCTTGAAAGTACTTGAATTTCAGACATATGGATTCAAGGCCTGGAGTACTTGAAAACAAACATAGGTCCTTGAAAGTGCTTGAATTAAATTTGAAATAAATTTTGTTTATGCAGGGATTAAAGTTTTCCATCGCTACGACGGATTTCCGTCAATTGGAAAAAAAATTAGGGGAAAAAAACATGTAGCGCATTGTTGTTGTTGTTCTGCTAGCAGACATGGATTCAAGGCCTGGAAAGTACTTGAAAACAAACATAGGTCCTTGAAAGTGCTTGAATTAAATTTGAAATAAATTTTTTTTATGCAGGGATTAAAGTTTTCCATCGCTACGACGGATTTCCGTCAATTGGAAAAAAAATTAGGGGAAAAAAACATGTAGCGCATTGTTGTTGTTGTTCTGCTAGCACACCAAAAATCATTCCCGGCCACGGCTGCAGCTTCTCAGTGACAACATAGTGACGCCGCTCGCATCATTCACAGTCAGGTTATTAGCAGAGAACACAGAGCAGGACTTGAATTTCGGCGCGGGATTGCGGCTATTAATAACAATTCTACTCATTCCAAAGACTATAGAATACCCTTAAAGGGACTTTGTCTTATTCCCACAGGTTCCGCGCTTATAACGCGATGATAGATGACGGAACGTATCATTTGCACGTCTTGAGAACTCACTCGCGCGCTCATTTTCTGTGCGCCCACAGATCGCGATAAGGAGAGTGACAACTTTTAATAGTTATTAAGGGAGTTTGCAAATGTGATATTGATTCAATACAACAGTACTGCCTGATTTTGCTCTATTTCTTTAACGAAAATAGTTCAAAATATAGTAACAGCTCAGCCACTTCACATCTCTAAAAGCAAACACAGCTGAGTTTCATTCATTCAATGAAAGTGCGTTTTTGAACAAATCTAGTGAGTCAGTGATTCATGATTACCCATTCATAAAGACAGTCACTTGCTTCATTCCTGAATGAATCAGCCGTTCGAACGAATCAATTGAATGAATGATTCAGTGATAAAATGAGTGACTTGTCGCCACCTGCTGGTGGATTAAGTTTCATTTTTAGCCTATAATTTCAGTTATTTAAATCATTTTATATTTAATGAGCGGGACAGTTTTCTTAAGCCCACTCCCACTGAATTTCTGACCATTACCGCCCACTCCCACAACGTGTGTGTCCCGCTCCCGCAAACATAGAGCGCTCGCTGTTCACGTTCACTTTCGATTTCGCGATCATGAGCACTGTGTAAAGGGAGCACATCTTACAGTGTGCACAATTATTAGGCACGTTGATATTCTGATCATATTTTTTTCCAGGCACATTTTACCAATTCCAAACCACATCAATCTTAATAACTACTATTAGTTTTGTATTTAATAATTTATGAGTGATATATAATTGTCCATGAAGGCTGGAAGTGGAAAACTCATATTCAGGTGTGCAGAATTATTAGGCAGGTTTTCTTTTACAGATAATATGAGCCAAAAAAGAGACTTAACTCAGACTAAAAGTCAAAAATTATTAAATGCCCATGAGAAAAATGCAATACTAGAATTAGCAAAGTTAAGGCATGACCATTGGGCAGCGAAATGCTGATTGGGTCAGCACGGTCAGAAAAAGCAGGTGGAGAAGAAAAGACGCATGTTAACTGCAAAATAATTAAGAATTAATGTGAAGAATTAGGTGTGAAACCATCAGGAAAATCTTAATAACTACTATTATTTTTGTATTTAATCATTTAGAAGTGATATATAATTGTACATGAAGGCTGGAAATAAAAAACTCCTTATTAAAGTGTGCAGAATTATTAGGCAGGTTTTCTTTTACGGATGAAATTAGCCAAAAAAGAGATTTAACTCAGACTGAGAAGTCAAAAATGATTAAATCCCCATGAGAAATATTAAAAACTAATGCAATACAGAAATTTCAAAGTTAAGGCATCACCATTGGTCAGCAAAATGCTCATTGGGTCAGCGGGGTCAGAAAAAACAGGTGGAGACAGGTGGAGAAGAAAAGAGACATGTTAACTGCAAAAGAATTAAGAATTAAGGTGAAGAATTAGGTGTGAAACCATCAGGAACCATTTAGTCTCCAACACCACTATTTTCCAGAACTGCAACCTACCTGGAGTCTCCACCTGTGTCAGGTTCTCAGAGACTTTGCTTGAGTAAAAAAAAATCCTAAAAAAATGACCCTCACTTAATAAGAATAACATGCTGAAGTGTTGTGAAATACATGAAGACTGATTGTTTATAGGCTTTATGGACAGATCAGTTGAGAGTGACTCTTGAAGGACCAGCACCACAACCACTGTTTGAAGAATTGATCTTCCAGAATCTGGCAGTAAGTTTTAGGAGCTCATTTTTGCCAGTCTCTGCAAGACAGACTTTTCAGGATAGGAGATGGACTAAAAACGAACTCCCAAAACTTACTGCAACATGGAGCTAAGGAGAAAATGTAGAGCGTGAAAAATTTGAAAAATAGCTTAGTGAAAAGTGTTTTCAGTTTAAAAGCAAATAGAAAGTCCTATTTTTTAATTTATTTTCTTTATTTTTGTTTTTGTTGCAGATTTGCACATGTACAAGGTTTAAAATGCTCATGAAATATAAAAAAAAAATGCTGAAGTTTTGAGCAGCTGCATGTTTGAGCTGCATTCCTAGGTCAAAGATGAAAAAAATGGGATTTACAATAAAAAGTAATTTACAAAATAATTTTGACTTGAGTTTATTTATTAATGAGTAACGTATCTTTTGAGTGAATGTGCAAATGTTTAATGTTAACAGGTTTTACCATGTTATTACAACATTTAACCACTTTTTATTAATTAAAAAATTGAGAAATTCTTTCAAATTTAAATCTTGTACAAGAACTACAGCAAAAATCAGTTTGATGCATATTTTATCAATATTTTAGAAATTGAATTTTATTTATCACCAGTACTGACTTCAACTGACTTTCATTAAATTCCTTTGAACACAACTGCTCAAAACGGTCTAAATTTATGAAACCTACACATTCAAAACATTATTACTCTGACATTTTTAATGTAAATGCAGTTCCCAAATGTGCAATGCTGAATATTTTGTTGAATTTGAACCACTGAATTTGTGGAAGCGAATTTGTGAAGCGAAATAAAATGGACCAAAATTTGCCTGTTGAATATTATAGGTTGTATTTTTAAACAGACTGAACATTTTGTAAGTGAAGTCTGGAAGGCGAATACAGATCATTGAATTTTTATGAAAATGTGAAATCTGTGTAAAACATTTGAAATATTTGAAAATGTGTGTAAAATATTTTGAATTAAAAAATTCACAGCTTAAATATACAACCATGTTGAATTTCAGCCCCTAAAAATGCAAGCCCTGAAAATACAAAGCATTAAAAAACAAGCACTGTTAATGCAATA